CTTATCCCCACATAGACTCATAGGGGACAGACAGGTCAACTCACTAGGTCATGTGACTAACCCGTTTCCAGTACAGTCATATGAGTGAATTAGTCAACCCGTATGAACCGTTCCGAATGAGAATCACATAAAACTTTCATAAACTGTTATTGTTTTAATGTGAGGAATGGAGGATTTGATTTGGTTGGACCTGAATTCGTCGTGTAAATGAGGCGTGAGCTGAAAACCTTTGAAGAACTACTGGATAGCTGTTTCGACCTGGTTGGTGCTCATCAACACAGTGCGCGAATCCATCGACCCAACTAAGGATCGAACCCGGGACCTTACAAGTAGAACGCAAGTATATTACCCACTCGGCCATCGGGCAGCTGATCAGACCGTTTCTCACGATATAGCACAACCCATCTTTGCGAGCTTATTGCGAGTAACAGCTATCCAGTGCTTCCCAGCTTTTCTGCCTCATTTATACCACGAATTCATATCTAATAGTATTGTTTTTGTTCTTCAGTCGCGGATAAACGATAAAAAATATTTACTAGTAACCTTAAAGGTATCTAATAACGAAGACTGAAAACAGGAAAGGGAATCATGTACAGACGTAATTAGCCAGTGGTACAAAGTGGTGATCGATTCAGTACTGAACTATTTCATTTTTGTTTTGGCAACTCATAATTGTCCGTCTGCTTCTGTCTGCTCCGGAGAATACATGTTTCAAAGGTGCAAGTCTGTGGTGATCCAGGCCTACACGATGGCGCCTACCCTGGAGCGGCGCGTTACAGTTTTAGGACATTGGCGATCGATCAAGTTTGAATGTTGAAGTCAATAGCACGTGCATAGCTTCTGAATACACGTCATTGGCGGATGGTGCCAGCCAATCCAAGACAATGCAGACAGAAGCAAGATTATGCAAGCAGTGCTGCAATCCAATCGGTGGATGCCCAGGTAGCCAATAATCTTCTTTTGTACATATTATTTAATCACCTTTATTTCTTCCAATACACGAACTACTTGCTGCCTGTCCTCTGGCCTTTTCCTCGCTTCTGGTTCTCGTGGGACATTGCTTCTGCGATCCAGTCTGTGATAGCCGATTATCGATTCGGGTCCTGTGATTCCAATTGCGTGGTTGGTGTTCCGAATTCCGTGCGTATTACTGCTACTACTTCTAAAATCATTACAAAGTCCCATGTTTAATATGATTAAGTTCGCAAAAATACTAATATATAGATATATATATATCCATTTATCTGCCACTCAACAAATGCACAAACGCGGAATCAAATGAGTTGTTGTTTCTCGAATGTTTTTAATGTCATTATTACGTCAGACAGTTGGCAACGGATGACTATGGCACTTTTGGGGCTATAGGGGATTATCTCCAGGCCCAAAAAGANTTGGACAACCTCAACCCCTCCTCCCTCATGCGTCCGAAAACAATTTGCTAATTTGTTAATTAGCTTACTTAGTAACATCAAAAATGAAAATTTCGTTCGGTTATATATCTGACTTCTACCCATTTGAATTCATATTTCATCCCACCTCCACTCCTGCCCCCCCCCCATTTCCTCACCCATTTTGCTCTAAATTTTGT